CAGATGTGACCTCTTCCAGGTGTTCAAGTAGCCTAGGTAACGCAGGTACTGGGCGGAGACTTTGCTGCGAGGAGGGTGGAGTCTGCTCGGCATCCAGGAGCGGACCTTACAGTCTGGGCCTTTTTTTCTTTTCTGAGCTAGTTAAAAGGACAACCAGGAAACCGTATGCCTTGCTTTCTTGTTTTGTGCCAGGCCACAGCCTGGCGTTCTCTCGATACTTACGCAGTTGTGTTCTCATGCAAGTTCTGCTCGGGGAGGAAATGGCCCTGCTCAGGCAGAGCTCTGGGCCCAGCAGTGTTCGTCAAGGTAGCTCCTCGCTGTTTGGTGGAGAAGGCTTGTTAATGCCCATGTTTCTTAGGAGGGTTTGAGATGGCTCCCTAAAATCTGAGACAGATCTATGAAATGAGGTTGAGAGAGAGATGATGTTGAAGGAGAAGCACCAGCCTGGAAGGCAGGGCACACGGGCTGTGGGCACTCGTGTGCGCAAAGGGCACACCTGTGCTCCTGAGGAGCCAGGTCTGTGGCAGCAGATACTAAGAGGGACAGCACTTAGAGGACACAGGCTACTCGAGGCAGCGTCCCCAGCACCCCTCACTCCTCTCAAATGCAAGGTGCTGGGACTCCTGTCAAGGCCTCAGTCAGCCTCTGCCAGGTCTTGTGTTGCTGTTCTGGAAAGAAAAGTCGCACTGGAGATGTGCCCCAAATGCCTACTTCTGAGGGTGGGGTGGAGTGTGTGAGTCTGGGGGCCTTTCAGTGTCTAAGCAGGTTCTCCAGGGGAAGTGCCACTGTTTCCCTGCTCCACCCACACTTTGGCCTCTTAGGCCACTCTTGATTCTGATTAGTAGCTCAGTGGATCTTCCTGAGTCCACCTTCTGCTGCTCCCCTAGCTGGCCCAGCCCCTGGAGGAGGAACGGGGCCCCGGAGGGGACGGGCTTTGGAGATCTGAGGCTTGGTAGACCAGTGTGCTGGTGTAGTAACTGTCCAGTGGAGGGAGGCTGACAAATTGCCCTTGGGGGATTTGGTTTTCAGATTGCAAGCCCAGCCAGGCGCCTCCCCCACGGAGAAGGAGGTCTCGGGGAGAAAGGCTGTGCTTCTGGTTGGGAAGCCCTCCCGGGGTAGGGGAGGTTGGCTGAGCCAGACCCAGGCTGGGGGACTGGGAGTGGCGGTGGCCTCTGTTGTGGCTGGAACTGAGGTCTGGGTGGACAAGGCCTCCAGCACTCCATCGTTGCCTGGTCAGCAGGCTGCTGTGGCAGACTCTTAGAGTCGAGTCAATGCCTCTGGCCACCAGCCTGAGGCCACAGCAGTTTGCACTGAGCTCTTTAGCTGGGCAGACTTGTGCCCCAGTTGGCAGCTCATCCCGGGCCTAGACAACAGAAGTTGGGAGGGGGATGTTTTGTACTGGAGCAGCAACGTCACGATGGAACACTTTGAACTTAGCTGCGGTGTGCTTTCCCCAGGTTTCTGCGGCCACCCAGGCTTCCAGGCCCCCCATCGGCCTGTGCAAGTGTTCTCTGTGGGAACCGGCTGAGCTACTGGGATAGCCTGGGCCAAACCCTGCCTGACAGCGTGGCGGGCAGGTGTCCGTCAGGGGAGGGGTGCACTCTGGCTGCGCCATCTGGGATGGTTCTGGGCAGAGCGTCCACTGCGGCTTTGTGGCAGCCACCTTCTTCCCTGGCAGGCTGGGCAGGACAGCAGCTGTGGTAGCTCTTTGTTTTCACTGCTAGGAAAAGACTGTTTAGAGTCAACAAACTTTCAAGGTGACACTGACTTTGCCTCTGAGGAATGGAACGGAAGGGAACGGATGGAGTGACTAGGAACATCAGGTGTAGGGGAGGTGTTCAGAGGCATCCTTGTGAGAAGACCCACCAACCAGACCCTAGCTTTTTGTCCTGTGGTGTAACAAAGTGGGCCACTAATTCCAGACAGCACTCACACCACATTCCTCTGCTCCTTCTTGCCCAGACCTCCTGGCTCCCCTAAAGAAACCCTCACTGCCCTGGACCTAAAACATCAACTAGGCCGGGCGCCGGTGGCTCACGCCTATAATCCTAGCTACTCAGGAGGCTAAGATCTGAGGATCACGGTTCAAAGCCAGCCTGGGCAGGAAAGTCCATGAGACTCTTATCTCCAATAAACCACCTGAAAATTGGAAGTGGCGCTGTGGCTCACATGGTAGAGCGCTAGCCTTGAGCTGAAGAGCTGAGGGACAGCAGCCGAGCTGAGGTCAAACCCCACAACTGACAAAACAAACAACAACTATATAAACTATAGCTGTCCTTAGTTGATAGACTGGTGCGAGCGCCGTGTCTGAAGCTGAGGCGCAGGTTGGGCTGCGTCTGCCTCAGAATCAGCCTGGCTGACCTTGACCTTCAGGTTCCTGACACCCCGCTTCTGGCTGTGGCGGAGGACTGGCTACAGCCTTAGTCTCTTTAGATCTTGGACTGGGTGGGTAACTCAGGAACAACAGAGATTGACTTCTGTTGTTCTGGAGGCTGGGAAGGCCCCGTCACCACACCAGTTAGTTGCATGAGTATCTGCGGCGGGTCTGTTCTTCGCCTGCTTCCAAAGCCCTGGTCTCTTCATACTACCTCATCAAGCTGGGTGGAGGAGTAGGGGTGGGACTTACAGAAACTGCTTCTGTCTCATGGGACGTTTTCTGGACAGGATGAGTCAGGACAACTCTAGCGGAGCAGGAAGGTGAGCGTAGCCGGGAGCGCTGGGCACAGGGGATTTTCAGTTCAAGCACAGCTGAGTGCCCATGTCCTTGTTCACTTTACAGCACAGGGAACACTGGCATGTGATGAGGCATTGGGCACCTGAACAGACCTGGGGACAGCCCAGTGCTGTTGGCATCCAGGCCTCGTCTCCCCACACAACCCAGTCACAGCACTCACTTGAGATACCTGAGCCTCATTCTTACACACCTGCTCCGGCCAGGAAACACACGGCTCTGCCTGGGACGCGCAGAGTGGATCTGGCTCCCTGTGCTCATGAGTCCTGGCCCTGCACCTGGCCACCCCCTATCCAGGGCAGCGTGGCCCAGGGGGGCTGCCAGGCGGGGCCATCTCCGCTTTCTTCCCATTTCCTCTTGAGTGGCTGGGAAGCAGCAGGGCCTCAGAGATACTTCCTTTACAGGCACCTGGGGCCTCCGCCTTGCCAGGTGCCAAGTTTGCATTCAGAACTGCTGATCCTTCTTCCAGGCTTGGCCTGGGAGTGTCCGCGACAGTGGCAGCTGTGTTGCTAGGGTGAGCTCTGAGCCTGCCAGAGTGGCACTGACCCAGTCCCAGCCTGGATGGGCAGGGGCCAGCCGCTGGTGGTGGGCTCTCGGTGGCCTGGGCCAGGAGTCATTAGAGGCTTAGCTGCTCTCTTCCGAACCCCAGGGCTGACTGAGCCCCTCGGCACCCCGGCCTTCCCCTTCCTCATGTATTGAGAAGATCTGAGTGAAACAAACGTATCAGAAGACTGTCCCAGGTGGAAAACTCAGGAGCCCCCAGTGTGTCCACGGCAGCACAGCTACCTTCCGCCAGACAGCCTGCTGTGCCTTGGAAAGGAACAAGGCCTCTAGACAGGCTTGCCCCGCCTCAGAGAGGGCCCGCAGCCCCGTGTGCAGGGGTGAGGCCTGCAGCCTCTCCCTGCTTCTGTGCAGCCCTCGTCTGGCACTATCTCTGTTTTCTGGGGGTCCTTTCGGGAATGTTGGACCGGGCTGTGGGTGCTGCTTACTGCCACAGCCGCTGTCCTGTCTGTTGCTGGGCAGAGCTCACGTCTGGGAGAGGTCCTGACTTGGTGCTGAGCCATGAACACTGACGTTTAGCTGCACTCAACCTGAGCATCCTGTGCCTCTTGCTCGGGCAGGGAAGCCCTCCCATCCATCCCCGCTCTGGAGCTTCAGAGGGCCCTGCAGACAGCCGGGGACGGCCACACACTCAGATGTCACGGAGGTCCCCAAAAGGGCCAGAAACAACCTGAGCCTGGCCCCTCCTCCAGCCGACATCCCCCCTCTGCACCCCAGGACCCGGGGAAGGCCCAGGGCCACCACTGCCTTTGAGATGCAGTCTCCAGCTGAGCCCAGAATCACAGAGCCCACTTCTGGACAGTTCTGAGCCTCTCCTGGCTGCTCTTCCCTCTACCTGGGCATGGAAACTGGGGGAGGGGATCGGCCCTGTGCGCAGCCTTGAGATGTTCCCACAGACTGAGGCCCCTTCTACGCTCACAGCTGTCAGCGCCGTAGTTTGTCTGTGTGTTCTGTTCTGCATTTTACATAAGAACCTACATAAGCATTGAGGAGCCCATCTTAGGACCAGTCCGATTTCGGCAGACAACTGTAGTGAAATGACCTCTTCGAGGCACAGATCCATTACACTAGATACATTTATACCTAGACTGACCCCCCCCCCCCGCCATGGCGTTAGAGGTGATGCCATCACACAGTGGCTTCCCCTCACCCCCACGTCCAGGTCCAACCCAATCTTGCTTCCAGTCAAGTTAATGGCTGGAAACGTGGCATGTGTGTGTGTGTGTGTGTGTGTGTGTGTGTGTGTGGTGTGTATGTGTGTGTGTGTTCGCGTCCATCCGTCCCCACACATGGCTTGAATTTGGGGCCCAAGCTCAGTTTTTCTGTTCATGGTTGGCACTCCCACTTGAGCCATCCTTCCAGTCCAGCATATTTGCAGGTTAATTGGGGATCGTCTTTTGGCCCTTTCTGCCTGGGCTGGCTTTGAATCATGATCTTCAGATCTCAGCTTCCTGAGCAGCTAGGATTTCAGGCTCCTGGCTTGAACTGTGCATTTCTTTACGGATCATGGCGGCCATGTCTTTGCAGAGCGCCTCTGGAGGAGGACAGTAGTCGTTGGAGGGTGGAGTCACTAGTCGGGATGAGCCCGGGATTTGGTGGTCTGGCCACAGTCGACATACCACATGCCCACGAGGTGTGGGCTGGCTCTTGGCTGTGTGTGGCCCTGGCTGACCTGTGTGTGTGTGTGTGTCTGTCTGTCCCTCCGCAGAACTGTCAGACCTTCAGCAGCCTCAGCTGTCTGAGCGCCGGCATGGAGGACTGTGCTCCCCAGAGCCCCTTCACCCTGGTCAGCAGTACCCGCTCCTGGACCGCCTTGCTCTCGGCCTCCAGCCCGGGGGGCAGGACCCCCGCCGGGACCCCCGTTCCTGAGCCTCTCCCCTCCTCCTTCGATGACCACCTCGTCTGCCAGGAGGACCTGTCCTGCGAGGAGTCGGATGAGGAGTGCCGGAGGGGGGAGCCGGTCTCGGCCTGGCGGGACCATCGGGCCACCGGGAACAGCCTGTACTCCCTGGACGGCGAGCTGGACATTGAGCAGATAGAAAACAACTGAGGGGCCTGGGCCTCACCCAGGGTGGGGGGTGCCGAACCCCTGGGCCCGAAGAAAGCTTTCCGAGGGGTGTCAGGTTCCCCTGGAGGAAGCCCACCCCCCTGCAGGGTGAGGCCGCTGCCCTGTGGTGCCCTGGCTCCACGGGGGCGCGCTCGCTCGCTCGGCCAGCTTGCGGTGGGATGCTCAGCTTCCACCCACCATCAAGCATACTGGCCAACAGGTCCCTGGAACTACTGTAGCCCAAGAGCTGCTTTGGTTTGGTCCTTTCTGCCCGTTCCTCATGGGGGGTGGGCAGCCATCCTGGCAGGGTGGGGCCCACGCCGCGGCCCTTGGGTGGGGCGTCGGGGGCTGCGCTCAGGGCCAGGGCCTCCGTGGCCTCGCTCAGGTTCACTCCGGGGAGTTGCCCGCCACGTCCTTTCACTCTGTTTATTCTGTGCCTTCTCTCCCAGGTCTTCTCGCTCCAGGCTTGGGAAGGTTCGGGAGACGCCTCCTGTAGTGACACCAGAACCGTGTGGCCTTAATCCACATGCGGGCCCTGGCAGGGCCCCCCGGGGGGCAAGCCCATGTCCAGACCCTTGGGCTCAGGGGACAGCGGGGTGCTTGTCCGAGGATCTGCCTAATTCTGCTGGCTGAAAAGGCAGACCCGACAGGAAGAGCCTCCCACAGCTGCCACTTGGGGGGCTGCCCTCTCCCGAGTGATGAGCGTGGAGAGTCAGCTGAGTGTAGAGATGTCGTGATAAAAGGGCGACCTCTTAAAATTGGTGTCCTCTACAGACGACAAGCAGGTGCACGCCCCTCGTCCCTGTGCGCATGTCGGGCCGGCTGTCTGCTCCGCAGGGGCCTGGGATGGGCCCAGAGAGCCTCTCTGTAATGCCCGCACACTCTTGTCTGCTCATGGGCGCTGCTGGCTCTCCTCAAGGCACCCCTCCCCTCCAGAGGCTCACTCTTTGACTGCATGGGAGTCCTAGACCTCACCACTGCTGGCTCGAGTCCCTCCTGCCCTCCTCACTGCACTCCAGCACAGGGTGCCGAGTGCTCACTCTGCAGGTGCAGCACAGGGATCTGGGTTCTAGGAGTCAAGCTGGTAGCACCTTCCTAGACAATAGCAAGTGGGCTGGCTTGTGAGCGAGTGGCTAAAAATAGCTGCGTGCTCTCCTGAGCTCGCAGACCGGTGAGCTAGGCACGTGCAGTCCCCGCGCTTGCACAGGTGTGGGACGAGCCTCGTCGCCGCAGGTCAGTCCTCTCCGGGCTTCACCTGTCTCCTAAAGGAAGATCTCAGTTGGCAAACTGCTTAAGCCTTCGTTGTTCCTCCATGAAAGGCGGCAGGGACTCCAGCTCTAGCGTGAGGGCGGCCCCTCCGGAGGCCTCGCCCAGCGCCTGAGAGACACGGGCAGCCCGAGCAGGGCACCCGGGGCCTGGGCCTGGCACAGGACGGGCCCTGCTGTGGAGGAGCCAGCTTGCTGCAGGGTGCTGCGGACAGCTGGCATCGAGGTAGCACCGAGCCCCTGCTTGGGGGGCGGGGGGCAGAGGTGGTCTATTCTCAGAATGACGTGGGAAGAGGAGAGGGGGTGTTGAGAGGATGTGCAGAGCATAGGACCATGCCCCACGTTCCCAGAAAGCCCTAAACAGGCATTTCCTGCGGAAGGTACAGAAGGCAGGGCCCATCCCCTAGGCCACTCCATGAGGCCAGCCAGGCCACAGTGTGGAGCAGCAGCTCCTTAGGACCAGACCAGAGGCATCTGAGTGACCTCTCCTCAGACTCTGGCCATCCCTGCAGCACGCTGCCAGCCCAGCAAACCAGCCCCGTGGCCGGCAGGCCAGCCCCCGGGCACTTACAGAGAGAGGTGACCCAGGCCCGGAGCGGGACACAACCTGTCCCACCTCGCCAGCCTGCCGCAGCAGCTGCCAGGAGACAGCAGGGGCTCCTCTGCTTGGAGAGACAAATGGCCTTTAATAAAGTTGTGGTTCTTTCGATTGGCTAGAGACCCCATCTAGAGGATGCCCACCATTGCCCCGGCCGTGCCACCAGAGAGGCCTGTCTGCCTGCGCTGCTCCACTGTGAAAGGAGGTTCACCCAGGAGCGGCAGGCAGGCAGGCAGGCAGGCTCGCTCGCTCGCTCGCTCCCACAACCAGCATGGTGGCCTCAGCCAGTAGAAGCTGAGGCGCTCCTCACAGCCTGGGGAAGAAGGGGCGGGGCTCCTTCCCGCGGCTCCCCTCCCATCCAAAGGCCCTGGGCTGACAGGAGCTGATGTCTGCTGGACGCCCAGCAGCGCCGTTTACATGACCCACACCCTCTTGCCTTACTCAGGCCGTGGAGGCTGGAGCCCGGAGCCCCAGGGAGGCTGGCCCGCGAGGCCCCGGAGCTTGCCATGACCGCTGCGTACACGTTTTCATGTTCAGAAAGCCTTACAGCAAAATGTTTGTAACAGGAACGTCTTTTTTTAATTTGTATGTTGAAAGAAAATGTTAGGAAAGGAAACGTCTTCATTAAAAAGGGAAACGATCTCCAATTTCCAGATGGGTCTCCCAGGGGAAGGGGGGGATTTTCCATGGTCTGGCGTCACCAAGGCACTTTCTGGGGCCCGGCCTGCCTGAGCGAGCTCCCAGCAGCTAGAAGGCACCCCTGGATCCTGCACCCCGCTTCCACCAAGGATAAAGGCACAGGTACTCTGGGGCCACGGAGGTGGTCACCCAAAGGCGTTAGCCCCCTGGGACAGAGCACCGGCTTGGTGCCAGGGCTCAGAGGGTCGTGCCCAGGTGTGCGCAGTGACGCGGTGCCTAGACACCCCTTCACTGCCAGTTCAGCCCTTCCCGCTGCCTCGGTCCCCGAAAGCCATGCCCAGAGAAGAGGAAGGTGTCTTCAAGTGGCAGAAGTGGAGCTCTTATAGCCTAGGTAGATAGTCTGACCTCTAGCGTAGTCTCGGCATGTGTGGTCAGCATGCAGGGGTGTGGGCCGGGTCTGGGCTGGGCCGCGGTGCACGGGCTGTGCGGGGTTGTGCATCCCGCCCTCACCGGGCACTGTGGAGACTGCTGAGCTGCAGAAATCATGGCGCCGCGGCCGCCTGGCCCCAGGTCCCCGCTGTAGCAAAGCAGTCTGCACAACGGGGTGCTAGATGTACTCCCCCCCCCTGCCGCCCCACCTCCCTGCAGACCAGGACTGTCTTGCACTAGAGCCCCTCTAGTCTCAGGAATTTGCTTGTTACTTTTACTGTGTAAATAAAGCTTCCTGGTTCAATGCCCAGCTGCCTGGGAACTGCTGTGTGGTTTTGTTGGGGTGTGGCGAGTTGGGAGGGCCACAGGCGGGGCCCTCTGTCCCTGTCATGTCCCTACAGTGTCACCGAGAGGCTCCAGTGCAGGGCATCCCCACAGCCACATCTCGGGGAACCTTCCAGAGGCGGGCCATGCGGCCTGCCAGTGTGTGTGCATCAGGTGAAGGGCCAGCGGGGGAGGCACTGCCCCCTGAGATGACTGAGGTAAGAGCAGTGGAGGCGGCCGGCGCCACATGCCCCTCATGGTGGCTCACGTGGCAAAGCACGTTATCTCTTGCCACCAGCCTCAGTGGCTCGGAGGCAGCCCCGATCTGGCCCTTTATAGTTTGTCCCCAAAGCCCTTAGCCTCCCCTCCCCACGAGACAGGATCCCTGACTCTCCAGTCTCACACCGGCCCTGTTTCAAGCTGAGCTCGGGCCAGCAATGGCTGCTCAGCCCTTGGCCCCGGCATCTTCTCCCAGGGCTGCACCTTCTGCACCCAGATGCTGGTCCCAGGCAGGCACCTGGCTCACAGGGCAGCAGCTCTACTCTTCCCTGGTATTGGACTGCCACACACCTCCCTTCTGCGTGCCTCAAGCTGTACGTCTGACACAGAATCCCACGGGTGGCCCTGATGGGTGTCATGCCCTGAGCAGGGTCTTCATTGTGCACAGGAAACGTCTGGGCACAGCAGCCCCATCTGGTGTGTGTGGAGGGCCCAGAGGAAATGCCTTCGCCTGGACGGTGGGCAGACAGTGGCTTCTGGTTTCTTTGCATTCTTCTGCTAGGTTTCCTAGTCATGCGTGGTACTTTACAGGCTAACCAAAACTCACACCAAATCTCAAGGGGAAAGAAGGTAGTGCGGTATCTGCAAGGGCAAGCTACAACTCTGGGTGGGGGAATGGCGTGTTCTCTACCTAGATGAGGCCGGGATGGGGGGTGGGGGGGGCAGCAACTTGAATAAGGCTCAGCCTTTCTAGAGAGACCAGGCTCTTCCCTCCCCGGGCTGCCCACTCCTGCCTGCTACTACAGCCCAGAACCTGCACGTCCCACCCCTCTCCTAAGAGGCCACGAGCTGCAGTGGGGCCTCCTTCAGAAGCAGGCCATCTGTGTGTTGCCCGGCCAATAGGCCTTCCCCAGTGCCAGTGTCTAGCCCAGCCACGGCCTCTAATCTTGACGAAAAGCCTTGGCTACAATTTCCTCCTAATCCTGACGGCGTGGAGGTCTGCCTGCCTGGCAGGAGCACTCGGGTGTCTGGGTCCAGCGCTGTAGCACCGTCAGCCTTTGTTTAGTGGAAATCCTATTAAGGAGAACCCTGACTTCTTTTTTATAAGTGGTCTCTAACGATTTGTCAGTGGCTTCTGGATTGATTGGAGGAGAGGAGAAACAGAGCAATCAAGCTGTTCATTCAGCTCATTGGTTCTGACACCTGAAACTTGGGCTAGGTGTGAACTACTGGGTCCCAGGGGCCTTTGTGTGTGTGTGGGGGGGGGGGCGGCTGCCACCAGCTCGGGGTAGGAAGCAGCTCTCACTGCCAGGCCTCAGCCGAGTCTCCTCGGAAGGTTCAAGTGTTGAAGGTGATGGGGGCGGGGGAGGGGGGCCTAGTGGGAGGTCCTTAGGTCAGAAGGATTGTGGGAATGAAGTTTCTCTGCCTTCCTGCTTCAGTTTGAGACCTCGATCTCTTTTAGCTCTTGCGTGTTCTCTTCCTGCAAGGATGCCATGAGGTGATGCTGGCCAGGGCTATGCCCTCGGGCCTCTCAAACTGAGCTCAACCTCTTCTCTGAGCTCAGCCTGCCTCAGGTATTTTGTTGTAATAATGAAAAATGAACGCAGGAAGGCAGTTTTCCAGGTCTGTCTGAGGTGAGCCCCGGGGCAGCCATCTACTCTTGGCCTCAGTTCCCTCACCGTCTAAATAGGTCAGAAGAGGTTTCACGGCTCCTGCACCCTAGTGTTCAGTGGCTCCCGCTCATGGCAGGGCCAGGGCCAGCGCCGGGACCCTGCTCAGGGCCTCCCCTCCCATTCCCACGCCGAGGGGCCCTTCCCCGCAGTCGAAGGCTGCCACTCAAGATTGAGTTTATTCGGTCATTCGTTTCTCCAGCACACGGCACACGGTACATTCAAATCTGTTCTCTTCTGACTCCAGAGTGCCTCGTGTGCCTGCAGCCTTGGCTGCAGGGGCGCACTCTTGTTCGGGGTGCCTGCCCGGCCTGTGTCCGCAGTGTGACGTATGGGACAGGAAAGGGGGGGTGGCATGGTTTCAGGGCGGGGGGCAGGGGCAGGTGAGAATCAGCTACTCTGCCGCTGGGCATGGCGGAGGGGACAGACAGTCCTGGTGAGGCGTGCTCGGCAGGACCCTGGCTTTTCTGCTGGATGCAGAGTTGAGGAAGAGGCCGTGGGCTCATATGCCGTGCCTTAGTGCCCTTACACATGCGTGTGCAAATGGTTAGTGAGTGAATTTAGGAGTTCAGGGAGGACATCCCCAGAGGCAGTTTCAGCATAGGTCCAGAGGGTTTTCATTCTCTGGAGACGGGGATGAACTTCCACCTGGGAGGCTGGGAGGGGGGTTCCACAGAGGAGGCTGAGAAAGAGGTTCCACAGAGGGAGGCTAAGGAAGGGTCAGACTCTGGCCCGGGGCAGCCCAGAGCCACGGTCCTGGCCCGTGCCTGGCGGCGGCGGGCAGCGGAAGGCCGGGCCCCGAGGCTGTCACTTGTCGGCATGCTGCAGCAGCAGCTCCACAGCCTGGGCCAGGTTGTCCACGTACCCATCCGCCTTCACTTCTGGATGGTGCTCATCGCTGGGCCTGCAGAACAGGGCTGGGGGTTAGCTTACTCTTCCACAGACAGGAGTTCTTTCGCTTCTGCCTCAGAGGTTGAGGCTCTGGGCCTCTCGTGAGGGCCTGGTGACTGGTGGCTTCGTGGCGGGGGTGTGGCAGGGATCCAGGGACCAGGATCCTCCCACCTGACAGAATGAGTCATCCCAGAGAACCGCCGGAAGCCCTCAGCGAAGCTGCACCTCCTCACCGTCCCTTTGCAGGGATGCTCCAGAGGGTCTCTACCCCGCTTTAAAGGAAAAAGCACCTTTCCCCTTGATGGCCACCAGTGGGGAAGCCCCGTGCAGAGGCCAGGCCCTCTGAGAGGGACGGCATGGCTTTCCGTGTTGGGCCGCCCAACCACATCCTCCATGTCGGGTAGGAGTGTGTGTGCGTGTGTGTGTCCACGCGCACATGCGCACACGCGCACTTTTGCTTTTAAAGCAGGGTGGGGACCCTCTGTGTAAGGCGACTGGTGGGACATGCATGCTTTCGTGGGCTTTTCATCAGTGGCCATAGGCCTGTCGTGATCGTTTTGTACGAAGGAGATCACAAATATCCAAATGGCCCTTGGCAGAAAATAGGTGCCCTACCCCTGCCAGGTTTCCGCTCAGGGGCCTAGAGGCCACCGCCTGGTCGGGAAAGGACTGCGCCAGACCATTGAGACCCCTGGATCGGCGGGGAGGACAGCCCTGGGCCAGCCTCCGTGGGCTGCGGTGCCCCCGTCACCAGAGCAGAGCCTCCCAGCGTGCACAGGACAAAAGTGCACCCACACCTTCCCAACCGGTGTGCTGGGAGGTTCGCAGCAGCCCTAGGGATCACCGGAAGAGCAAACCCTTGAGGAGGTCCCTGGGGAGAAGGCCAGGCCACACTTCGTTCCTCCAGTGACAAGCCAGCAGCCGCCGAAAGGTGACGTCATCCCCGTGAGACCCGGTGCGGAGCAGTGGGAGCAATGGGAGCCACGCAAAGGGGCGACTCCACAGGGGAGGGGCACAGAACAGAATGTTCTAGACTGTGGCCGGAGGTGGAGGTGGAAGCAGGTAAGTGCCCACACTGTTTGCTTTAGGGGTTCTCTCTTTGGCCTTGGGAATTTGCTGAAGGATCTACATCTGATGCCCACAGTACAAGGGGTGCCGCCCCCCAGTACTGCACCTCCCCCCTGCACCCCGCCCGCCTGCACGTGGCCTCCAGGCTGACAAACTGCTCTTGCTGCAGCCTCTCCTATTTTTAAAGCGTTGCGAAAGAGAAGAACATGCCAGAAAGACCAGTGCGGTCCACAGAACTGCAAGTTACTATCTGGGCCCCACAGGAAGGCCCAGGCCCAGGGTCCTGGCCTCTCCAGCCTGCATCTGGGGTCGGCTCTTCCCGGGGCCCGGGGCATCGTGGGCCCTGGCAGGGGTGGAGCATGGCTCCTCACAGACCAGAGGAGAAACTGAGCGCGCAGCACCTGCCGGAGCTTTCCCGTCCGCCACCCGCCTTGCTGTCCCCTGGGCCAGTGCTGGCCGCCTCGGAGCTGGAGCTGCCCGTGGGGACTTGTGCTGCTCTGAGAGGGGCCCCGGAAGGAGGGGCGCTCATTGTGCACCCCGCCAGCCTGCACTGTGCATGCTGGCACAGGTGCCCGCATGGCCTGTGCCAGGCGTGGCCGTGGTGCCCGGGCACTGAGCGGGGACTCCAGCAGGGAGCACGGGTCCCCGAGGAAGACAGTAGCTGTGCTGACCCGTCCCCCAAGTCCCCAGGGCGCCCCTCCGTCCACATCTCCACCCACTACGCATGGGTGAAGTGGACCCCGGTGGGGGGGGGCACAGCTCCTGCCCTCCGTCCACATCTCCACCCACTGCGCATGGGTGAAGTGAACCCCGGCGGGCGGGGGGGGCGCACAGCTCCTGCCCTCCGACTCCCGCAGCCCCAGCTGCGAGGGCTTTGGCGTGAGTCACATATGGCCGCCGTGGCTGTGGCTGGCAGCGCCGGGAGGGTGCGCGTGGACTTGCCCCAGGCCCCCGGCCCTGAAGCGGACACCATCCTCGCGGCTGCGCGGGGAGACCTGTGGGCCTCAAGGTGTCACCTGACAGACGCAGAACTGGAGGGGACCCGGCAGGGGGCGCTGTGGCAGCGGGTCAGCCGGCCGCAAGCTGGCCCTGGCTGGACACGTGTGGCCAGCGGGACATGGGGGCGGGGGATGGGCAGAAGCCAGACCTGGACAGAACACAGTGACAAACATCGGGACAGTGAGACAAAACTGGAGCAAGGAGAGAGAGCTAGACACCGGTGCAGGGCTGCCGTCGGGTGGCCAGGCGGCTCTGTGGCACCTTCGGGTGGCCCCTCTCCCCGGATGCTGCGGGCCCCGCGCAGCTTCGCCTGTACCAGCCTCCAGCTTCACACGTCCCTCATCCTCCACGCTAGTGTCCGCACTGTGCCTGCTAACGCTCTGGAAACCTGCCCCAGCAGCAAACTCGTACGCATCCCTCAAGGCCCCACACACATGTCCCTAGCTCTGACTCTGTGCTTCACTCTACAGGGCAAGTTGCTCTCTGAGCATGCAGAACTTGCTCCCTGCCCCACAAGCACCCAGGAAGTGTTCACCCCGTGAATGAACAAAGCCCTCCACAAGGCAGGGCTCCGCCTGTCATTAGCCATTCCTCCCCTCACACCCTGGAGCCAAATGCAGGGGATGACTGAGCAAGAGGCCTGAACAAGGGCGCTCTGTGCACGCTCGTGGCCAGGGCAGCTTCACAGGGATGGTCTTTGTGCAAAGGAAAATGGCGCCAGGAGCCTAGCAAGGGTCGTCTCCCCCAGCTGAGGAGGGGAATGGGCGCGGCCTCTCACAGAGGAGCTCCGGGTAGGGCGGGCCGCAGGAGCCCAAGACTGCACTCAAGGGGGACACTTGTCCTTGAGGCCAGCTCCCAGGGCTGCCCAGGAGCGTGAGCTGGGAGCTGGCACGGGAGGGCCGCGCTGGCAGAGCGGGTGAGGACAGGGTGGCGGGTCACGGGTCGGAGGCGGCGAGGCTGGGCAGAGGGCATCTCTGCGTTGTGCAGAGTCGAAGACCCCGGGGGCCAGACACAAGAGTTCACTTCTTTCTGCAAATGCCAGGAGGATGTGGCTGGAGACTTGCCTCCTCGCACCCGCAAGCTGCTGTTCTTGCTGCCAAAGGGGACACCTGCGGCTGGGCACAAGCCCACGGAGCCTCCTACTGTCCACTCGCTGGCCCAGCCCTGGGGGCTCAGGCCCACAATCCTAGCCGCAAAGGGGGCTGGAATATGAGGGCTGCAACAGAAGCCCATGTAGGCAGAAAGGACCATGAGACATTGATCTTCAATTAACTAGCAAAAAGGTGAACGTGGAGCTGTGGCTCAAGTGGTAGAATGCCAGTTTGGAGTGAAAAAGCCAAGAAAGGAAGGAGCCGGGCGCTGGTGGCTCACACCTGTAATCCTAGCTACTCAGGAGGCTGAGATCTGAGGATTGTGGTTCAAAGCCAGCCCGGGCAGGAAAGACCGTGAGACTCCTATCTCCAATAAACAACCAGAAAACCGGAAGTGGCGCTGTAGCTCAAGTGGTAGAGTGCTCGCCTTCAGCTGAAGAGCTGAGGGACAGCGCCCCGGCCCAAAGTTCAAGCCCCATGACCGACAAAAAAAAAAAAAAGGGGAAGAAGGGTAGAAAAGGATAAGAAGGAAGGAAGAAAGAAAGAAAGAAAGAAAGAGAAACAAGAAAGAGCCAGGCACTGGAGGCTCACGCCTGTCATCCCAGCCACTCAGGAGGCTGAGAACTGAGGATCACAGTTGGAAGCCAGCCCAGGCAGGAAAGGCACCGAGACTCTTGTCTCCAATTAGTCAGCAGAAAACTGAAAATGGAACTTTGTCTCAAAGTGGTGGAGCACTAGCCTTGAGCACAAAAGCTTAGGGACAGCGCCCAGGCCCTGAGTGCAAGCCCCATGATGGCTAGAAAAAAAAAAAAGCATGAAAGAAAAGAACAGAGGAAAGGAAAGGAGAGCAGCTCCTGCGCGAGAGCTCCGGGGAGACCCCCCCCCCAGGCCTGGGGATGGGCACCGTGGCCACGCACAGACGGCAGGCCCGAGCAAGCTGGGACCCCAGCCCCAGCCCACCCTCCTGCTGCTCCCGCCTGGGGCGGGGCCCGGCAGTGGGCCAGCCCCGCTTTCCCCTGCGCAGATGAGGCAGCTGAGATAACCCCAGAGGTAGCCAGTGGGGTGCCAGCTCCACACCCCGTATTTACCTCGCACCTTCCCTCGCACCAGGGGCTCCCCCAAAAGCTGACCCAGACACTTCATTAATCCCTGGCAAGACAAATCACCTCATAAATCATCAGAGCGGCCTGGGGAGGCTGCCAGCCCTCGGGCCCTTGCCCCACACTGGGCCGATTGTGCCCACAGGGACCCCTTCCAGCCGCCCGGCTCCTGGCAGCCGCCACGCCCTGCGCGATTCCTAGATGGAATCTTGCTTTCTCCTGTTTTCATTCCCGTCCAGGAGCCGGGCCGTTCTTAGCAGCATTTACCAAGTGTCACTTTGACTCTGGCAAACCTAGGAAGCCATACACTATGCCAGACAAGCTTCCAGAGCGGCCTGGGCCTGGCAGTGCTGGCTCTCAGGGCCTGATGCCCCCCCTTGGGGGTGTGGGGGTGGGCATGTGTGAGAGAGCGCGATAGGGTAGGTAGTCAGGATTCAGTGACTCGGGGCAGGGTACTGGAGAAATGGGAGACCGAGGCCCACAGGAGGGAGCCTGGCAGCCAGGCGCCGGTGGCTCACGCCTGTCATCTAGCTACTCAGGAGGCTGACATCTGAGAATTGTGGTTCAAAGCCAGCCTGGGCAGGAAAATCCATCAGACTCTTATCTCCAAGTAGTCACCAGAAAACCAGAAGCGGTGCTGGGGCTCAAAGCCTTGAGAGAAAGAGCTCAGGGACAGCGCCCGGGCAGCCGGCGCTGGAGCCCGTTCTGCCCAGGGGTGCTCTGGGGAAGGCCTCGGCGCAGGGCTGTGGCATTCA